CATTCAATGTTCATAAACATCTCTTTCGAAACCATTCATTTTTTTCCCTTAAATCTATAATTTATTACTTATGTTGTATCGTATTTTCAAACACTGGTTACTCCAAGTATACAAATATAAAATAACTAAAATCCTATGTGGCATGAACCGATAAAGTGACTCGAGCTCTAAAAACAAAAATAATAATAATAAACAACTAACTAATTGAAAAGTTGGATTAATTTTTGACACAAAATGTTAACATGACCCAAACTATATGCAAAATTAATGAGTTAAAATTGAAAAATTCTTGACACAAATTCGAAAATAACTTGACTTAAGAGTAAGAATAATCTAACTAGTGTTGTAGAAATAAAATACCAAACAAGAATAATCCAACTAGCATTGTAGGAACAAAATACCAAATTTTGGTATTTTTATCATTTTAAATTAAGCGGATTTGTTGTCCATTTTTAGTATCATATGGATTTAATCGCTTTGTAATTTATTGAAAAACAAGGAGTCGTGGGATTAAATAAGAGGTATTTAAATCTTGCTTTTGAATTTTTAATTCCTATAAATTAAATCAAATATGACACGATATAAATAGGTTAGTGTCAGAATGCCTAACACAATTAATTAAATAAATTGGATTAACATTGATTAATGCTTGACACAAACTTAAAATTACGTTCCGTGAAAGAATTCCACACTCAATTGCCAGTCTATGTTTTTCACGTTTCCCAAATTGAAAAGAATCATAAAATTCACATGTTATTTGGTGCCTTAAGTTCCAATTCCAGGAAGTGGAACTATAAATAGCCAACGAAAGCTCTAGAATCCATACCAGCTATTGGAGGGAAAAAAATCATACTTTCAATTTATTAATCCTTCGCAACTAGCAAGTGTTCTTGTCATTCCCCTCTCCCTCGCCCCTCACAGCCACAAAATGGCAGCTGCCACCCAAAATGTTGTTCCCAATGTTACCCGTCGCTCTGCAAATTTCCATCCTAGCGTTTGGGGAGACCATTTTCTCACATATGCTCCTGACTCTATGGTATAAATTTGCTCGTAAACTGTTGTGTATTCTTCCCTTCTTAGCGGATTTGAGTCATAATGCATTCATGATTATGAGTTCTAATTGCTTGTGCAGGAAATTGATGCTCATTCGGAGCAACAACATCAACGACTGAAAGAAGAAGTGAAGAAGCAGCTAGCCGCAGTTGCTAATAAGCCTTCACAGCAACTGAACTTGATTGATGCGATCCAGCGTCTAGGCGTGTCTTACCATTTCGATACTGAGGTTGATTCAGCTTTAGGACACATTTATGAGTGTTGTACTAATTGTGATAAAAAAGATGACGATGACCTTTACACTTCAGCCCTTCGTTTCCGATTGCTTAGACAACAAGGACATAATGTCTCTTGTGGTAAGTATCTAATTTGTTTCTTTGTTAGACTAAATAATATGTAGCAATTAATAAACACACATGCGTGCAACACGCGTTTATGCGCTCTGATATGCAAAGTCATTTTACCGGTTCAATTTGTACCATTTTTTGATGTCAATTGTCAAAACAGATGTGTTCAAGAAGTTTAAGGATGATGAAGGGAAATTCAAGGAATCCCTCAACACTAACGTTGAGGGATTGTTAAGCTTGTACGAAGCAACACAACTGAGGGTGCATGGAGAAGGTATACTAGAGGAAGCACTAGCATTTACTACCACCAACCTCAAGTTCTTGTTTCCCCACTTGACCAATCCTCTGGCCGAACAAGTAAATCATGCTCTACAGTTGCCCATCCGCAATGGCTTAACAAGGCTAGAGTCGAGGCATTACATGTCTATTTACCAAGAAGACAATTTGCATAATCAAGTAGTACTAAACTTTGCAAAAGTGGATTTTAACCTATTGCAGAAAGTGCATCAGAAGGAGCTAAGAGGTATTACAAGGTTGGTCTATTAACAAAGTCAGGGGCTTGTCATCACCATTAACATATGAATTAAGTAAGAGTTTGGATTTGATACAATTAATTCTATTTTATTATTACGATTTAGGTGGTGGAAAGATTTAGACTTTTCGAGAAAACTACCTTTTGCAAGAGACAGATTGGTGGAGTGCTACTTTTGGATATTGGGAGTGTACTATGAGCCCCAATACTTTTTTGCCAGGAAGATATTAACCAAAGTAATTGCCATGACTTCCATTGTGGATGACATCTATGATGTATATGGGACCCTTGAAGAACTTGTGCTCTTCACAGATGCAATCGAAAGGTCAAATTCAACTAATTTAATCAAATAGAACACTCTTAGTTTTAGATCTTATCATTCTTGTTCAAGCATTTTTTGAGTTGTAATTGACATATAAGAACTAATTAGTAAGTCTATTTATGTGCACTACATGAGTAACAGGTGGGACATCAGTGCTTTAGATCAACTACCAGAATACATGAGATTATGTTATCGTGCACTCTTAGATGTGTATAGTGAAATGGAGAAAGAAATGGCCAAGCAAGACAAAACATATTGCGTCAACTATGCTAAAGAAGCAGTAAGTACTTTTACAGTTCCCATAATTTGCCAAAAAAATAAAAAACCTAGTTTTAGACTGATGGACAAACTAACAATATGTCTTCTTCTTCTTCTTCTTCTTCTTTATTTCCATGTTTCAGATGAAAAAATTAATTAGAGCATACTTTCAAGAGGCCAAGTGGCTTAATGAAGGCTATGTTCCAACAACGGAGGAGTATATGGAGGTGGCGCTGGTTTCCGGTGCTTACATGATGCTTTCCACCACTTCCTTTGTTGGCATGGGAGAACTGGCAACCAAGGAGGTCTTTGATTGGGTTTCCAGTGAACCTTTGATTATTAGGGCTTCATCCGTAATTTGTAGACTCATGGACGACATGGTAGGACACGAGGTAGGAAAGAGAAGTTTGAAATATCTTATTGCAAAAAGCTACTTGTCATAAGTTCCAATCTCCTCTTTGCATAAAACCCAAATTTAATTGATATATATGAGCATTTTCTGACTCATTTTGTGCACCGATTTTGTGTTGCAGCCCCAAAACAATTCTCCATTACCTTAAAAACACCTTTTTTCCTATTTATTTTGTCCTAATTCTTGTTTTTCTGCTGAATAAATTTTGTGGTTCTTCTACATTTTTTAGCATGAGCAAGAGAGAGGACACCTAGCATCAGCTGTGGAATGTTACATGAAACAACACGGTGCCTCAAAGCAAGAGGCGTATGCTGAGTTTGACAAACAAGTCACAAATGCATGGAAGGATATAAACCAAGAATGCCTCCATCCAACCGCTGTCCCGATGCCTTTTCTAATGCGGGTTCTCAATCTTGCGCGTGTCATAAATCTTCTCTACAAGGATGGAGATGGGTATACAAATTCCAAAACCAAGTCAAAAACCTATGTAACCTCACTTCTTATTGATTCCGTGCCAAAATGACAGTGAAAATTTTCTCCAGTCCTCCATATGATGATTCTAGTTCTACCAAATAAAAATCCTTAATTCTGGTATGTGAAAATAATGTAACTCTATTTTTCTGTGTTCTAATAGTGTGTTATCCCGCCTTTGTAATAATAATGAAATAGGAGAAAAAGTATTAAAAATTTTACCTTATTTCTGTTTAATGGACTTCTATGCTAGTATGAGGAGTGAAAATTAACTCTTCTCCCATACGCCCCTCTCGATATGATGATTCTCTCATGAATAAAAATCTGTATCCATGCATATCGTGGAATAGAAAATCTGGAGTTGTATGAATTTTTCACCTTTCAAAAAACAAAGAAGTAAATCACTAGTTCTGATTGTACTGTCCATTTAGGATGTGCAAGTAGGAGTTGCATGTGCAGATGAGATGAGTGTTGAGGTTTGTCCCATGCTAATAAAATATCAACTCCTGTACAGATAAAAAGATTAATGATTAAATTTGGTTAACCAAATTTGTTTACTGGTTGCTTACAGTCTAAAAGCAAGTTTTGGAAGAAGCAAAGTACAACTTCGAAGTGCAGGGAAACAATTTTTCTTATTGATTTGAAAACTCCTGAGAAGTGACAAATTTAGTAAAAGATTCGGTGTGTGCAGGATTGCTGCGCTTACTATTAATTTTTTACAAGAATCGTGTTTGAATTTGAGCCAAGTATGCTTTGATTAGAGAGGCTTACTCCCACTCACTTGCGTGGGAGGAAACAGGTTGTGTTTCTGAGTGCCGACAAAAAAAAATCATTACAGAGCTTCATGTATGATGACCAAACTGGTAGGGACAATAGACAGTGCAATTTTTCACATGTTCAAAGTGGCTAAACCGCCTGGCAGTTTTTTGGTATCGGACAAAAATCCAATTCGGTGTCGTGGAAATAGAGATTACACACGAGTTGCCTTTTGACACGTGGAAACGCATTAAATCGATTATGGCTTGGTGACTACAAGCTTGATAATCTGCTGAAAAGAGGGGTATCAGAGTCCTCTTAGCATCCATACTTACAAAACCAAGGAATCCTTTGAGATGGTGATTCCTAGAGAGAAATTTTAGAAGAGAGGGAAAGTTTCCAATTTTACTTGCATATTTTTTGTATAACTCTCATTCTACATATAGAAGAGAGTTTGACAAGGATTTAAATCCTATCCTAATCTCCACTAATGGTAATTTCAACTTATAGATAGATTAAGATAAAGGAGAAGAGCCTAAACCCATTAAGTTTCTAATAACCTTGAGGACACTGAGTTAACTCGGTCTCTTAACTGGGTCCAGATTACATCTCCCACTTATCAACATAGGTTATCCCATTTTCCTTACATACTTTCTTTTAATCTCCTGTAAACATTTCACTTTCCTCATAAAAGTAATGGATCGTGCAAACTGACAAAATACCACTAGTGGTACCATAGCCTTTCCCCCAGCAAATGAGGTCCAAATAGCAATATTGCTTGGAAAAAAAATATCTAGCAAACTAGTAACATAAACCAGCAATTAGAAGGAATTCAATGGAACTAAAAGAGTGCAAAGTCTTCAATAAAACATGAGAAACAGAAAGTTCAACTCCATACAATACTATAGTCGAAAATACTAATGGCAAACAGCCATATATATTACAAAAGTGAGAGCTCACAAACCAAGAAGAAGAACAAGTAAAGATGACCACAATGGTTGCTATCGAACTAGAAGTCATTTTCTTTGTTTCTTTTTTTTTTTGGACAAGCTATTGAACTAAAATTTTAAGGATACAGAATAGGAGGAGAACATCAAGAAGGGTTAACAATACATACAAAACAATCTTCTGCTTACTTTCAAAAACAAATATAAATGGGGAGGTAACAAGGTAATAACAGAAACTAACAAAAAGGAAATTCCTGCTACTGCATCTTGTCCCCAGTGCTGAAATTGAATGGTACCTACTTGTTTGATCATGATAATTACAAACAAGTCTGAAACCAGTGTTTCTGTTAGTACGAGGGTGACGCAAAATCCAATAGTAGCTGTGATTTTTTGCTCTTTTTTTTTTGGGTGAAGACAAACATCGTATGAAGACCTGCAAAATGGATATATCAATGCCTCGCCTAGGTTAATAGCACCAAGATAAAATTGAAACAGAAAGTGTCATAAAAACATAACGAGATGAAATAAAAAACACAAAAAAACTCAAGCAATGGTGTTGTTACTGTGGAACAACTAGGTATAAAGGTAGTTAATTCATCTGGCACACTAGATGATTTTTTCTGGTGTTTGTATGATACAAGGAGCAGGGCCAAGTGTGTATGTGTCCACAAGTGATACATCTATTATGAATTGCAACACACGAAGGCAGAAGAGTATGGTCATCTACAGCATTAGGTTTAATAGTAATTTTAAGACGAAAATAGGTTCTAGACAAGTCCCACATGCGAAACATAAATCAAATTGCTGGCATCTTAGCATCTGTAGCCTTATACAAGACAACTTGTCTACTGGTGCTACTGGCGACAAGTTACACTAGTGTTAGATAAGATTGTTATCACCACATAGAAGTTGATGGTTCAGATAATCAGATGTTGGCATGCATATAAGTGTTGGAAGGCTAAAATCTGGTTTCAGAAAAGGGCCCTGATAAATTTGATATCACATATTGCCAGCATCCTTTGCAGGAATACCACAGCAATAAAACAATCGGCATTGGAGGGTGCCAAGCTTTTTTGCTGGGAAGGTGAAATCACTTTTTGAATGTATTTGCTATTTGCTACAAAATACTTGGCGAAAGAAAATCTCTATTCTACAGCAATCTCTGTAAAGGTTACAAGACTCGAGCAAGTTCTGGTGCTTAAATTCGTAACACATGACATGCCTCCTTAGGGGCTTTTCTATTTTCAAGAGGAAAAAGGTGAGTGAGGCGAAAAAAGAAAAGAAATAGAAAGCTTTGAAAAAGCAAAGAAACACAAGGAGATTTTAGTAGATTTCTGTCAACCATGCAGCAGTTGTGACTCCATGGTAACTAATCATGCTTCAGTTTTCAAATTCTTGTTCGCTAATTAAGTAACTAGTATTACTGTACTACAGCAGCAGAACACTTAAAAAGATCATCTTCTTTGTTGTCGAAGTCTCCAAAAATTCTCATGTGGAACTACTAATTTCAATGCAATTGCAGTACTAGATGTAAGGATTAAGAATGCAGGACTGCCTCACAGGTCTGTCATTCTTCAAGTTACAATTCTAATATAGCTCGTTTGAACATCCACCTACCCCACGTTGGCAGAAATAAATCATAGGCATTCTCTTGCAATTTACAGACCAATGCCGGGATATATTCTAAAGCACATGAATGCAACCCGCACCTCAAACCTCTCATCTATGACAACAGTATATAAATTGTGGGATTCTTTCATTTCCTAAAGATTTAGCAATATTTTCTTATGATGACCTGGCAAGAGAGGATGATACATGTGCTGATGTGCGGATAAAGATTGAGTTTGATACGAGAGGTTGGTCATATTAAGGCATGACCGGATAGGGTTCTTTCTAGTTGTTTATGGTGTTTTAATCACTTTTCAAAACTCCTTTAACTGTGTTCACGAAATTTTCCTACTGAGTTCTAAGATTATGTAAGGGCAGGTTGATCACAAATTTGTATAGTGTTCTTTTTACAGGGAAACAAAAACATTGTTCTCCACTCTTTCAAGACAACTTCTCATAACTTTTTAACGATTACCACAAAAAAAATAACTGCTACCAAATCAAAATGTATGACACAGCATGGTATTACTTACCAAGTATGGAAAAGTACAGATTGCCAACAATGCAGCAGGCATAGTGAGTGTCAATCCTGTATCTTGGGGGATCCAATATATTACGAGCATTCACGCATGTTCCAGAGCATGATAAAGTTTAGAAACTCGTCGTCGAAGTAACGGTTCTAATCGGAAAGAAGGAACACCACTCTGCCACCTTTTTGCTTCATACATCTCATTCCATGCTTGTACTATCTCATCAATATTGAACCCTAAGCCTACAGCCATAATAAGAAGTCAGAAATATTTCCAAGTATTTGCAAGTAATTTTCTCTCCATAAAAAAATGCAGCAACATGTAGCTAATATTATTTGTATATCACCTTCTAGTGCAGTCTCATTAGAACAATGGTTCTTTATCATGACAGCTATATCTGTTTGAGAAGCTCCAGCAAGTTCGAATTTTTCAACGGCGACCTCCAAACATTCATGCCAGACAGGAAGCCCCAGTTTAAATTCCATAATCGATCTTTCATAAAGCAGGGTGCCCCACATGAGGTTTATCTGAGACCTCATGTTTGCAGCCTGTTCTGCAACTTCATCATCAGATAAATCTTTAAATAGTCCATCCAACCCCATTTTCTGCAACAGGGCTTTTAACTTATTTGGACTTGATGATTCATTCAAACGCCGCTCCTCTGCTTCCTCCCACATCTGCATGCCCCTTTCCATACTGTCCTCGGCTTTATTATAAAGATGGAGAACCTCTGTAGAAGGCCATGTTTCCAAGTCAACACCGGTACCAATTGCATAGTACCAAGAGAGTTTTGCCTGCTCGAACTGCTGCTGCCCTAGAGCTAGAATGCCTTCATAGAAATCTGGTTTTATTTTCAATGCTTCTTCGTATCTCTTTCCTGCTTTTGCATATTCATTTTGCGCCCAATCAAATGAACTCTCAACCTGTGCGAGTATTGATTCTCTTGAAGCATCTTCTGTGAAGTACACTCTTTTCCTTGCCCTGGACATGTGGACATTTCCCCAATTGAACAAGGCCAAAGCTGACATCTCCTGGAACTTCTCCGCTGCAGTATTGAAAAGGTCTTGTGCCTCTTCACTTGTAACAGTGTCTTCCATGGCCTCAGAGTAAAGCTTCATTCCAAGGTCATGTAGATTCAAATATGCATCATAATCAAAACCGACATAGTCCTTGAATAGCTCAGCAAACTGAAAGATCCAATCATCAAAGCAAGATGGTCCCTTGCCTGTTTCCTCAGTTTTTCCCACATGTCCATTCTGAGTAATGTTATTATGTCTTTTTCCATGCTGGCGCACCTCTTCTTCTCTTCTTCTCAGACTAATCTTGTCCAAAAATGGATCTTGCTCGGGAGTGACTTCTACAATGTACAGCCTGACAGAACCACGTTCTTCAGCAGCTGCTTCAGCCCATCTTAGTTCTTCATTTGTGGTTATTGTGACCAAATCACCTTCCTGATCCCTGTATTTGATAAGAACAGCTTTTAAGGTTGGAAATCGATCATGAGTAACCTCCCTCAGTTTTAAAATACTGCAATTAACAGGAACCTGGGCCCATCTTATATCCTCCCCAAACACTAATTTCAAAGCCCTTTTGGGCTCCTCTTCCATAATTCTACTTATATTCTCCTCCACAACCAATTTATCTTCAGCCTTCTTGTCCCCAGTTTGGTCCTCAACCTCCTTTTCCTCAATTGTGTCCTTAGCCTTATTTTCCTCAATAACATCCCCAGCCTTTTTTTCTTCGATTGTCTCCTCAGACTTCTTTTCCTCAGTTTTCTCTTCAACCACCTTCTCCTCCACTTTGCTGCCCTTGTTCTTTCTCACCTTCTCCTTCAATACCTTTGTTGGAGTTGAAGCACAAGGTGGTTCAACATATGCTGGGACAGGAACCAAATCAACTGGTATATCATTCTCCCTGATTCCTTTTTTCTCAATTGTTGTATTCACCCTTTCAGCAATCTCTGTTGCCATGAGGTTATTTGGCTCCATCTTCAATACTGTACTAACATCTCTCAGTGCCAGATCCAGCCTATTCAGAGCCTCATAACACCTAGCCCTCTTCAAGAGTGCTTTGCTATATTTGGGTGTGACTTCAAGAGCCAAATTGCATTCATGGATCGCCATAGGGTACTCACTGAGTCCCATCTGCATATAGCATGCGGCCATGTTACTCCGAAGATAGGATACATCTATGTGGTTTCTTGGGAGCAACTTGAGAGCTTTTTCATATTTTAATATGGCCCCTTCATAATCTCTCTTCTGAAACAACTTATTCCCCTCATCCTTCAATTCCTGTGACATTGAAATGAATACTGCAGTATCCTTATCGTATCCTTTTGGGCTATTCTCACCAACTTTGTTTTGGTTCACAACTGTACCTCCTGATTTTCCTCCCAGCTGTTTCTTCTTCGACCTACTTTGCTTCCCCATCTTGAACCCGACAATTCAAACCACAAAAGACACCAACAATTCGAACCACAAAAGCTTCAACATTGAGTAGCTAACTTTTTCTTCACAACCACCCTCCCAAAACAATTCAATCGAACCTGAGTTCTTCTATAAAAAACATGTCAAAACCCCCAAACCAAATAAAAATTCAACATAAAACCCCCCAGGAAGTCCTCGATAAAGATGAGAAGATCTTCAAACTCTTATTGTCTCATAATATTAATACCAAGCCAGTGCACTTTGGTTCCAATTCAATCAAATCAGACATATAATACATTAAAGAAACTTCTCATACCAAAACCAAGCTCTTATACAGACCATCCATTAAAAAATGTTCAAAAAGAACCGATAAAACCCAAGTTTTGAAACTCAAATGGGCTCTGAGCAGAAAGCAATAAATCCAAAGGAAACAAAAATTGTCTTCTCTCCAAATCAGGATTTGTTGCAGCAAAACCAGGATGTAACAAACCCCAGTTCAGAGAGAGAGAGAGAGAGAGAGAGAGAGACGTTTATTCAGCTACAAATTAATGTTTTTGCAACCCAAGATTCTTGCTTTTTCCTCCAAGAAGTGACAAACAATAGAATTTGGCGAAGGAAACTTACCTGGGAAAACTTGCTTTGTTTAAAAACATTCAAATGCTTGAAGATTTTCCGGGAAAAACAATAGAAAATCCAGGGAGAAAATCTGTTGCTTGTGGAATGAAAATATTTGTCATTTGGGTTCGCAGAAATGGAAGGAAACGAAAGCCGACCACCAAAAAGTGGGCCCCGCATTTCCTTGAACTTCAAGATAGCCGGGGACGTAACCTGTGGCAGACGGCTGTTTGATTTGGCTATTGCCACACATTTTCCTGTTATTTACACTACTGCTATAACCCTACTTATTATTATTATTATTTATGAACAATTTAGGAACGATTTTAGGAAGTCTTCCCCTTTTAAATATTTAATTCTCATAATTTTAATAATTTATTTTTTTAAATGAAATTCTGCTGAGTCCTCCATAAATAATTACTTATATCGCTGTGGAAAACTAAAAAAACATTACTCATATACTTATGAATTATGCTCTTCATTTTATAGTATCTCTATTTTTTTAGCTTTCTTACATTACACCTTAAAATAAGAAAAATGTTATTCAATCTAAATGAAATTCAAAAAATGTAACTCAAATATATATTATTCCTTAGATAAGTTTTGGATGAATGCAACCCACTGAAAAAATTGATATAACCTATTCATTTAAGAAATATATGTATTTGGGTTACCACTGAGTAGGGTGGTCTAGTGGGATATTCATTAAACCTTTTACTCTTAGGTTAGAGGTTTGAGTCTTAAAGTTTACATTGAAAATTGGTGATTAACTATTTTACTAGTTTAGTTAGGTTCGTTTTTAATATGAGTAATGAGCGTGATTAGAGGGCTCATATCTCACCAGTAAAGGTTTATTGGTTTCTGGTTGCTATCATTTGTCCCCACCTCTTTTTTTAATTATCAAAAAAATAAGAAAAAAAGAAATGTATTTGGGTTGCAGCAATCAAAATGTTGGGCAACTTTTAGAAAATTTTGGATTTGGAAATACAAGGACTTTAGGTTTAGTGAATATGAAGCAAATTATGAGTAAATATGGGTGGAGAATGTATAAATTTTTTGGAATATCCATACATCATAATTCGTGTAGGGTACTATCTCCTGTCTGCCAGTATAAACGGTCTCCACGCTATCCTATGACCAATCCCATCCCACACCTTCGAGCACGAGCACAAAGTCCACCAACTCAAGTGAGATCCAATAAAGTGGGACAAGCCTGTCAATGAATGCTCCTCTTTTGTTCTGTATGAGTATGAGTTCGATGATTTGATTGGGAAATTGGTTAGTTGGATATAGGTTATTATTTTTGATTGATAATTAATATATTTATATAATAAAATAGTTTATGATTTAAATCTCAAAAAATAAAAAAAAAAAATTTTGTTATTCGCGGTTAAAATCATTTTAAATTTTACTTTAAAATTAATTCAACGACTAATATTAATACTTTAAATTTAATAAGAAAAATAGGTTCTTAAGAGTGTGTTTAGAGTGATTTTTTAAAATTATTTTTAAAATTATTTCTCATAAATACTTAAAAAAAAATTAGTATTTGAAATCGTCCCACCACTACTTCTACCCTCCACCATCGTCACCGCCACCGGCACCGCCACCACCACTTCCACTACCACCAATGCCACCGTCGCCCGCCACAGCCATAGTCGCCGCCGCCGCCTCCACCACCACCGTCACCCCGGTCATTGTCACCTACCACAACAATCACCGTTTCTACCATCACCACTGTCGTCCACCACCTCTCACCCTCACTATAAAATCGATACTTGAATTTATTTATTTATTTTATATATTTATGATTTGATTTTGGATATAAATCACAAATATGTTTATTGTTTACTATTTTTTTATTATTTTGTGTCTTCAGGCTCAGACACAAGCAATAACTAGTCTATATAATAAAGTAACTTACAATTTAAATCTAAAAAAATTAACAAAATGACTTTTATTATTCGCGGTGGAGATCGTTTTAAATTTTACTTTAAAGTTAATCTAACGGCTAATATTAACACTCTAATTTTAATATGAAAAATAGATCTCTAAGCGTGTGTTTGGAGTGACTTTTTAAAAAAAAATTAGAAATTATTTATCATAAATACTTTAAAAAAAATAATGTTTGAAATTGTCCCACCACTACCTCTACCCCCCATTCCCACCACCACCACCGTCACCCCGATCATTGTCACCCACCACAACCATTACCGTTTTCTATTACCACTACTGTCACCAACCACCTCTCACCCCTATTATAAATCGATGTTTAAATTTTTTTTTTCTATATTTGTGATTTAATTTTGGATATAAATCGCAAATATATTTATTATTTATATTTTTTATTATTCTCTACCTTCAGGCACAGGTAATAACTAGCATAAATATATGATAAAATTGAGACGAAATTTTAGATTTTTTTTATAAAATTATGTTTCTCCCGGTTGTACAAATTTGAAATTTTCAACTAAATTTTTAATTCTTAACAAATTTAGATACAAAATGTAAAAATAGAATTCATTTGCTGACAAACCTTAGTGAAAAAAATAAATAAGTTATAATTTAAACTCTTAAAGTATGCTCTTTATTCCTATTTAGTTTTTCAAGTTTCAATTATCACAATCGAATCTTTAGATTTTTAATTATGTTATAATTTAGTCATTACATTCAAATTCACAAAGTTATTATGACGAAATGACATTTCTTGACCAATATATGATTTGTGTAAAATGGTATATTTGTCTGGTGAAATTTTTTTTATGTGTATGCTAGAAAATATTATTTTATTTCATTTAATTTGAAGAAAAAGAAAATAAAAAACCAAAAAAGAAGAGATATAGAGCGAGAATTTAAAAGATACCATGAGATAGAGAGAGAAATACAAATGTATTTCATAACTATATTTTTTGTTTCACAAATATATCCTTATGGGCTGGTCGTATGACATCCTTTCTAGCAAAACAAATTGATAGGTTTGAATTAAAGGATTGGATTGAAATTCAATGAAAACTTTAAAGGTGTAATTGTTTAAATAGAAAACTCAGGACTAAATAAAAATTATGTGCAAACTTTAAGGGTATAAATTATAAATTTCTCAAAAAAAAATAAAAAAATTAATTTACATTACTTGCAAGGAAACTTCACATGTGGTAGGAAAGAGAACCTTTTGGGGAAAGAATGGTGCTCATATATTATATTCCCATACAGAATTGTCAACTTGATGCTTAACTTAACTTGCAAGCAAATCCCAAGATGCTGTAAACCTTGGCTGGGGACATGTTTGAAAACTTCCTGAATTTTAGACTAGACTAGTCCAGTCTTCTTGAAGAATGACCTGTCTAAGGTCAAAGACACCCACATTGACTTGGTTTGTATCCGAAGGAAAACGTATTGAAGATGCTCTTTAGATGCAGATTTTCTCTAAGTTGATGCAAAATTTTCATTGAATAGGAAAAAAAAAAAAGGGTGCAATTACTTGTCAGTGTCGTAATAAGATTCATATGTTAAAAAAGCAACATAGATCTACGCAATTATTAATTAGTTATATGTACAAATTGATTAGAACAACGATATTGATAATGTTACGTATTTTTTATTTGAGTTGGTGTAACTATTGTTTTTGACAAAATGATTTATAAGGGACACTTTGTTTACAACTCTATGCTTAATGATGGTAGATAAACACAAGGGTTAACAAATAATTCCCATGAGATTAAGTCCCAAAAGTTCAAAATGTTTTGAATTTGAAATACAGACTTTTGAAAACTCGATACATTGTTACACCATACAGAAATAGATTAAGTTTACAAATGAAACTTCTATTTAAGCTCATATTCATTATTAAAAAAAATATTTTTCGCACCGAATAATATGATATAATCACGATCATTGAATATTTTCCGAAAATATTTTTTGCACCAAGTACTTTTTATGGCCTAAAATTCATTACATCATCTTAGTTAATATGGGCTATGTGCTGCAAGCCCAATTAAGGGCAAGAGGGTGGGCCCATATCTACAGATTGCTGCGCATTTATAAGGTGGGTTAGACACGTGTGTGCATTAAGTGTAAATGGACCAGGCCTCCACGTAAACTCCACCAATAAGCGATCGGCACGTCACTATACCAACAATTGATGACGTGGTAATCTGTGATTGGATCAAAAACTTACAAGTGTTATTGAATGGTGCACACCTGATGATTTTACCCGTGTTCTTCTCCATGAACAAAGTCTGTGAAGTCTGAACGACGATTCTCTGACTCGCAGACCATGGTTGATCTTCTTCTTCATTAGGAAAACAGAAGGGAAAATGGTGAGATTGGTGATATGGTGGGTTCTAATTTTCTCTGTCAATCTCTTCAACCTTAATGTCTTAGCCGATCAGATCTTCGCAGCTCAAACAGGTACAAAATTTCCGAACTTTCTGTTTGGTTCCTTGGGAAATAGTAAAGGAAAATCTATCTTGAAATTCCTCCAATGTTTCCCAATTGAATAATTTGAAGGGAACAATTTAGGAATCTATGTTTGAATTGCTTGTCCATATCATGCAATTTTTCTCATCTACCAACCAGAGAATAGATTTATAGTTTCTGGGGTTTTCTGAACTTCCGGTTGTGTTGTAGTGGATTTTGGTAATTTTACTTTTGAACTCGTTTATGGACATAGGTATAAGTTTGTGTGATTATTCATGTGTATGTACTTGTATTTGCATTTATGGTTGTGAATATCTTTATGTAAGGGCTGTGTACTAATAACTTTGATTCAAAGCTTAATAGAGATGACTGAAAGAAATAGAAGATTGATATGGTAGAAACCTCTGCATGTGGAGGTTTTGAGCTTAGGCTGGACAGTTGGAATGAGTGCCTCTGTATAAAGGTTCATAAACCAACTTTGCCAATGATTTTAAAGGGCCTAATTTGACACCTTAGTCAATTCTAGAGCACTAGCCTGGTATTCTGAATCCTACTCCTGTTATATTTTGATATGAGAGAATCAAACGATGTAGTTAGATCGGTTGACAAGGGGAACAAGACCACATAGACCAAAATGCTGACTGCTTCTAGTGGAAAGGATCAGCTGGGCTTAAATCATGAGCTGCTGGAAGGGTATTTTTCAAACTCATGCTTAAGTAGTGCAACATACCGTAGCTGCCATATATTATGCTAATGTAGCTTTTGGTAGTCATTGCAATCCTAATTAAGGCCTACTATGCATACCTCATCAGTCATGAAAAGTTGTATTGTATAGCTTCTTGACTTTTTTGTGTCTTTCATTGAAAGCAAAGACGGATCTTCCACGTTCCAAGGGGCTTTGCATGTGCCATCTAGTTTTTCCATCTGTATCCTGCTCTAGACCAAAATTATCGTTTTGATTACTTATATCTTATGCTTGTATAAGTTTGTTTTGCTGTTCTGCCAACTCTCAATCTCAGGTGGCACCTTTGGTCGCAGCTCTCGAGAACCAAAATACAAAATTAAATTCCATCCAGAAGACTCACCCTTCCATCCTGTAAGTTATCATAATGACGGTGACATTATTTGGTTTTTGGTCTTAGATGTGCTATGTTACTTCAGCAGCCTGCTAATATCGATAGATGCAACTATATATATGGATTTTTCAGATATAAATATTTTGGTGGACTTTATTCGAGCATTTCCGGAAATGGGTTTCCCATTCTCTTTTTTCGAACCCACTTCAAAATTTCTTTCCACGGCCAATTTAATTGTTCTTTTGTATTGTCTATTGGATTAAGCATTGGCAATCAAAAGAGTTGATGAGAATAATTTGATATTTTATTGGAATGAACTAATTTCGCAATCATAATTAAAAAAAAATCCTCGTCTTTGTTCCACTACCCCCAAGTTGGTCAGATGAGTTCATTGCATGGTATAGCTGTATGACGCAATGACAGCCAGTCCTCCAATAACTCTCAACATTGGGAGATTCAAAAATTATTAATCAAATAGAAACATTAAGTTCTGTGAGGTTTTTCTTATTAAGCATGAGAAAATATATAATTTCTACAAAATAAAGCATGATTTTATATTTCAATTTTCCACGATGAAGAACTTATTTCGATGATGAAAATATATTCTCTATGTAATTTGAATCACAAAATAACTTCTAAACCCCTCTCTGTACTAATAAGTCAAAACTCCTCTTACCCTTATGTATAGCGTAGCCTAGTAGTTTTCATGTAATATAGATACATAGAAATGCATACTTCTAAGTCTAATAATCAATATGACTAGAGGAATTGCTAATAATTATTAATTGTTTTGTAATATGGAATGAAGGTTGATTCCAAACGAGATTATTAATGGATGTTATTAAGTTATTGAATATTCATATTAGAGAGTGGTTACATTCCTCTGATGTTTATTCATCACTCATGAAAATTTAATGGTGGGACAGAGGAGAGGGTCAAAGGTTGTGTACTTACTGGGGAAAAAAAACATATTAGCGTGTATATGTGCTTGCACAATTGGAATGATTCCTGTTACAATATAGTGCAGTTAGCAATATAGGGAACTGAAAAAATTTAGTTTCATACTCATCCTCCCGCCCTCTTTCTTTTATCTTCTAAGGCATCAATATAATTGAGACAAACTTAGTAAGGCAGGGTTTTACCTCCTCCCTCCTCTCTTGTCAAATAAGAAAAAGTTAGTTTGGTAGGAGTTCTAATGGCATAGCTGCATTACTTGTGCACTTGGCATCTCGCTTGGGTAGGGTGTTTTGTATGCTCACCTCACCACAACCATCTTTTTAAATTTTCCAATGGAAATGATCACACTGATGAATTTCTTTCCTGGTGTCACTTTGGTGTACTTCATAAATTATAACTCATATTTGCTTTCTCTTGCTGGCCTTCCTGTAAGCCTGTAGTCTTTCTTGCCCATGGAAGGTAGAAAGTAAAGTACTACTGTTGGTATACCATAAAAAATGAAGGGACAGGTTAAGTGTTCAAATGTCAAAATGGCTTGCTTCATGGGCCAAATTTCTATTTTGCAGTATGATGACCAGGAGTCTGTGCTTATGCCGAACAAGAATGGAGAGAAGTTTCTATGTTACTTGCCTAAAGTGGAGAAATCCAAGATTGGAAAGGCAGTCTCTCAACTCAATACAAGCGGCTTGATTTTGGAAACTGAGAAACGCATTAAATTGAAGACACCGGATGAGCTTCTTGAAGTACTTAAAGAAACATGTTTTATCAGAGTCAGTACCTATCATGTCCAAAACTATGTTTTAATATGTTCATTTTTGAGAAATATTTTTGTCAATTTTGGAATAATTGAAGAATTGAATGGTCGATTTCTGCATAAGATTTGGTAAACTCAGTTGTTTCAAGTCTTCACAACTTCTCCAGCAATGGTGTTTTATTATTGTTAGATATATTAACTTTATCAAATCTTTTTTTGCAGCAAGAAGGATGGTGGTCCTATGAATTTTGTTATCATAAGAAGTTGCGCCAAATTCATTGGGAGGATGATAAGGTAGGTCCTTAGGTGCCTCTATAGGGGTTCTCAATTTTTATTAGGCATCCTTTTGCAATTGGAATTGGATCTTGCCATTAATGGTCTTCCAAAAATTCCTCCTCTGTAGTAGGGTGCCATGCTTTTGTGTCTGAACTCTGTTTGTTGTGGTCTTGTTTTGTGGCTTTGGCCCCTGCTATTTATTACACTCCACCATTTAGATTCTTTCTTTTGGGTGGAGTATGACAAATTGACAATATGATCTTAATGAGTTGTGGGGCCTTGCATCTGACAAGTCATTGGGATTCCCTCTTCAGGAGCCCGTCTCCTGTCATTTTTTGTTGGCATTTTTGCGCAATAACCCCCTCCAGTCGCAGACTGGTGGCAGGTGATCTCGCAGAGCTTTTGGAAATGATTACCTAGACCTACTGTGTAGGCACAACAATGAACTGCGGTGGAATCTCAGAAGACCTTCTTAATTGTCAATCAAATCAGACATTGATATCTTTCTAGACTTTCTTTGTAATGTTAGCACTTTTTTCCGGCTGGCTGTGTTTCTTTCTGTCTGTCTTCCTGTGGGTGGGTGGTAATATGTGTTTTATGTTACAGTTGGTTCAAGAGTTTATCTTGGGTATATATGATGCCGAGGCTACAGCGGCTTACAATCAGAATCTGTCTGGCATTTCAACCATGAAAGATCCCCGCTCAAAAGATGCATCACAACGGTATGAATTCCTTGATAAAAAGACTAGGCAAATGGATCTATATTAGGGACAATCTTATTATCACTGTACATGATTCCTGCAGGTATCATGCTCACCAATATACAAATGGAACCACCTGTGATCTCACAAATCAGCCTCGCGAAACAGAGGCATGAGATATTTCAAATCCTCTTCTTTTGTCTTCATTATTTTCGTCTTACACGTCTAATTTTTTTTTGAGTTTATTTTCAGGTGAGATTTGTTTGCTCGGAGGCCAGAGCTATGATTAGTTCTTTTACCGAGTTATCCACATGCAAATATGCACTGACAGTACAGGGCCCAATGCTCTGCAAGCACCCGTGAGTCTCTCTCTCTCTCTCTCACACACACACACACATGCATGCACAAACATGCACAAATGAAAGTTGTAAAGCTATATGGTGGTTAGTCTAGTATTCAAATAGTAGGCTCCCACACTAGTGAATACTTTATGCTGTTGAAATATGAGGCTAAAATCACAATCGTATTTAATTGACAAGCTACCATCTACTACGCTTGTTTAGCAATGAATGGAAAGTTTGACCTCTTTGGCTGTAAAATATTCTTTTAAGGTGAATTTTTTCATTATTTACTAAACCAAAATTACCTTTGATTGTGAAACCACTAAAACATCATTGTTAACAGCCCTGGCCTTTAAGTGCCCAATATTATAGTCCATCCAAGTATCTTATTAAGCCTGTCGTAACGCAGACCGTCATTGAATGACTAGAGGGTTGGTAGCCAACTTTTGTATTGGAATGATGCAACTCCAACTTTTGCAGAAAGAAATTATAAATTGCAATCTTAATGATCAATTCGTGTTTTCACTTGAGAATCATGTGTGTGCCGTGGACACTTAATAAACTAGAAGTGAGATTATCTACGGGAACATGTCATTGTACAATACACACTTCATTACTTTCTCTGATGGCTAGTACGGGTTTGCAGATTGTTCCAAGAAGAAAGACCAGTGTGGCATACCATTAACTGTAACGTGCTCCCAAAAGATCACAAGGGACCAGAAGTGGAGGAAGACAGTGTCCAAGATGAGAAGATCACCATGGTCCCAGATGTTGAATTTCCATCCGGTTTCCATTCAGAAGAATATGCAACATAGATATATTCATGAAATTAAGCCATCTAGCTGTAAAGAAAAGCTTTTCAATGTGTGCTAAACATGCCTTCAAAACGCATTTTGTATGGTACATTTTTTCTTCACTAGTCGATAGCAAATTTTGCGAGTGGAACTCAGAATCAGTAGTGTTATTTTCTGATATTCTAGGAATTTGTTTTTCTTTGTAATTTTTAAAGATCGTTGCCAATAGTAAAGATTAGATTAATAATGCTTCTGTACAGGAATAGAACATATTATGGATATTGTTTCCTTCATTTCCTAATTCACTGTAAGTTCAACACCCGCAATATGGAAATGCCACCAATTGAAGGTAAGAGGCATCAAGGGTCGTTGCTCATTTTGATTCCTGAGAGTATTGGGAGAGAAGGATTGGACAGTTTTTCTCTTAAATTTGAACTCACAATCTCATGGTTGTTAGCCAGACACTAGTATCATGGCACCAGACAATAACCCCTATGGGCATAATTTTTACATGCCCTGCAAATTGGGCCTGGGCTAAAAACTTTAGGGCTGCATGGCCCGATGGACTGGCTGCCCCCTGAGCCTGTTAGGCCCGATCCGTTGCTGACACTTAGATAGGTAATTGGTGATTTTGAAATCAATTCAAGGAACCTATAACTGAGAAGTGTAATATCAGCCTCCGGTAATTAACTTGGAACTCAACAGCGAAGAACTGATCTGATTGTCATTCATTAGTAACAGAGTTAGAATCCAAGATACAGACCCTATAGTATACACAAAGCATATGCTGCATATCCAATTTGATATATGTACTTCTTACTGTGCAGAAGAAACTTTCTCATCATTCTCCCCAGTACTCAGCAGAGCCAAATACTCATTTATAGCTTCACCTTCTTTAATAACTTCGATGTCATAATCCGAAAAAGCATCTCCTCTTTGTAGTTCCCCTGTAAGTTCACTTTCCATTTCCGCATCCCTCTCCTCTGCTCCACCGTGACTTAATGGACCTCCATCACCCCCTTCAGGGCTTGACAGTGCACCGCTACCAGAGGGGCCTTCAATGCCATCTTCGGCACTCAGATTTTCTGTGCCAATATCGTTAGGAATTGAAACAGAAGAATTTGCATCAGTTTCGTTGGGTTGTCCCAGTAGATGAGTTAGCGCTTGCTCTTTCGTGCCAAATGTGCGAACAGCTGCAACCACTACAAGCACACAAAAGAAGTCAATGAAAGCAACAAAGCCCCCACCAGGTAGCACAAATAACGGATGTCTTAAAACCTGATGGTGCATCATTTCTTGCAAGCAATGACAGTATGTTCCCTAAATGGATGTTTAACCCTGCCTCTTATATCAACAGATCCTACCATAATATCATAATCCTCGCTGGGGTGCAGTGCTTGTTGACACCATGGCAGTGGACCATGGTCCTAGCTCTGGGAAGTCGACATGTGCTTGGTGGCCATTGTTTGGGGCTAACTGAGATTGTCTCCTCATTCAGCTTAACCACACTTCATGGCCTAACCAGATGAAAGAAAGAGTGTACATTGTTTCCATGACAACTGGTGTACACAGTGCTTTCTCTGGATCAAGAAACTGACTGTTCCTCAATAGCCCGTTGACAAAAATACTGACCTAATTCTGCATTTCCAGCGACAAAGGCCATGCAAACTCGCTATTCCAGCAGCAGAGTGAGTTGAGAGGTTGCCGACAGACCAGTTGTCCACATTCCTGGAAACCTTATACATAGGTCTAGCACGCTCTTCTACTCGACGACTATTCTTGACCTATAGAGGAAACTGAATTCGAACTAGCACATTGCCAAATGTTGCCTCCTGCTCAGTATCTCTCCCTCCCCCTATGCCCTTGCGGCAAGCTGCCCTGCCATTGCCTCACCCTGGTTCAACATCACACTCATGGTTCAAAGAATTGGTCTTAGTCACATTTTGTTTCAATACCATTCTGAGTTCCGTGAAAATTATGCATCCAACTCAACTCTTGGTCAAACCAGAGACATCTCAATCAACTTAACAAAGTCACCAAGTCAACGTATATGTTTTGTAGTGTATTGTTTAATACTATTCTACAACGCCACAATATGACCAGAATCTCTTGGCATGTCCAACTTCTCTTATCTGTATCATTTCATGTGTCACCCGAAACCATTTCGGATTGCAACAAACAATGTATCTCAGTGTCATCCAAATCGATGGCCAATAACACTATCTTGGACCATGATCACACTTGGATCACCTTTGAGGTGCGAAACCCAAGCTATCAGGTTAACTAGGAATAATAGAAACACACTAAATACAATGGGGGCAAAAACATTGTCTCATGTATTAGGTACCTGTTGCTCTTGGGAAGCCCATGGATATAAGTTCTTCGATTGCAGCATCTGCGGCTTGACGCAGTCTTTTCCTTTTCCTTGATTCAATATCAATCTGCAAATCAAACTGAGTGAAGGATTGGAGTTTTAAATAGACTGAAGTCCATGACATTAGCACAATAATATAGCACACCTGTATGGAAGAATTAGTTTCAGGATTCGTCAAGTCATCCAACGCCTTTTGAGTGTCATTTTCATTTCTTCGAAGGGCTTCAGCAGCAAGTTCTTTCTCAAACCTGAAAATTTGAGGAGATGTCAGCCTCATTAGAGACTGCATTGATGCCTATATCAAATGCATGAACAGTTATAGAATTTCCGATAACTAAAATTCCGTTTAGGAGCCAGATAGATGGCTACAGAAAGAGTGACTTAAACAAAGTAACAAACAATAAATGTAGCTGCCAGTGTTGACATCCTCAAGGTCTGGCCAAAATAATTAAATTCAGGGTAAGTAGCATTTTACCTTTCTACAATTTGGGCGAGTTGTACATAAACCCCTTGTGGTTATGGACTAGAGTGCATCTGTTACTTTTCCTCTTCAACTTATGGTTTCACGTTCAAAACAAAATTTTGACTAAGAGTTGAAACTGCATATACAACCTCTTGGAAATGAATTCTTTGATACATAAGTTTTTTCATGTTAATTTTTTCATAAGTTTTTTTCCCTGGAAATTATGAGGTTCGGATTTGTTCTAGGGAGAGAAAATGGGCTGAAAAAAATGAAATACGTCAATTGAGTATCAACATCTTTTCCATTAGGTTTTGCACTTTTTTCCAAACCCCAATTTGTAGTAAATACCCAAGAGTGAGACAAAATGCAATTAACCCTCTTAACCTTCATTCAACTACTAAGAAAGGGCAAATAATTTCCAGCCATATGATGACACCACAACATAGTAATGTCCCATATTTGTAGGGCCTACTAACCCAATCGACACCAACTCATTCAATCGCTTGAGATCCACAGCTTTCCTAAGAGGTGTCTTTCCATACCGCTTTTGTTCCCTGCGATTTGTGGTGAATTAAAGTAATAATTGGTGAGTATTGAAGATGAACATACATAAAAGAACAGAAAATGATTTAATTAATGCTAAACTGAAACCTACATGATCTCATTTTGTCGCCGAATGTCTTCCTCCCTTTTCAGTGCCTTCTTTGCCTTTTCTTCTACAAGAAAATCAACAGCACTCTGAACATCCTGATTGTTCATGCGCAGAGCCCTTTTTGCATCACGTTCTTTGTAACCCATTCCCATAAGTAGCGATAAGGCTTCATCTGACACCTGAAGCTGAATGTAAAAACAGGCACTTTTACTCCTAATGTAAACGGAAAAACAGTGGGAAAAAAGAATTAATTCAAAGATTCACAAAACAGGGAAAACATCTTAAAGTTTGACTGGTGCCCAGAAAGCCACAAATTAATTTGATGCAGCTTGAATGTGAATGGGGCATTGCACAAAAGCAAAAATCCCCATCAACAACCATTTTCCACAGAGAGGGGCACTCAGTTTCTTATACTTGAAGGTTAACATAACAACCTTAATGCGAGAAAGGAATCTGAACGTTATTTCTTTACTGCCAAATTCATTTCTTTCAAGGTGTTTATTGGTATGTAGAAATAATCAGCCATTAAGAAGATAGACTAACCTGCAAGTATTTAGCTTGTGCAGATGTCAAGGCCTCTCTAGATTTTTCTAGCTTACCACTGTGATATGCAATTACTCCTTCCAATAACTCCAGTCTCAAGTGTCTAAAACAATCAGAAAAAAAGAAATTAACTTCAAAAAGTTGACAAAAGAATTTGCAGTGTCAAAGGAGTAGGGAGTACACTTAACATATACATCAAAGAAGTATACTCACAGCGCAAGTTCTACATGGCGACCTCCTTGAAGGATTCTGACACGGCTGGATTCCTTCCCATGAGCCCGCTCAATTCCTTCTCTAGCTTTTGCTAGGCGTAATCCTGCCACTGAGAGCCAGCTTATGTCTCGGAGCATGAAATAGCACCATACCATATCTATTTGCAGTATTGGGACATTGTCAATCATCTGGAAGCTCAAAAGACAACACAGAACGTGTAAGATGAAAATGTAAAAGTACATTTTTTAAGAAGAATACTGTACTCGAGTGAAATGAAATCAGTACGTCTCATTAAGAGAGTCACATCACAATACATAATGTAATGAAGCTAAGAGTTGTTTCATAATTGCAGAAACTCAAAACAAAGTGAATTTAGCCATCATCGAGGTTGAAGTTGATGAGCTGTCTAAGGGCCACAATTTCAAATTAACATTTCTTTGTGAAGTTTAGGAGTTTGATAATTCAACAGCAAGCCAAAAAGAAGAATAATTTACATCTGACTGCTTCTATTGTTAAAAAATGGAACATACCCTTTTCTCCATCCATAGATCTTCAAAGATAGCAACTCTGCCAAAAATGTTTATAGGCATTTTATCTTACAAAATTTATGTCCAATCCAACCCATATTCATGAAAAACATAAGAGGGCCATCAATCATGACATGATTCAATGTTGATAGATTCTCAATAACGCATTTGAATAGAAACTTTTTAAAAGAAGAATGGGTTGCTCACCTCAATGACCTTTGGGTTGCAGAGAGAGAAGGCCTCCTACAAGAACACAAATTCGCGTACTTGAGTTAATTACATTGTGTAATTGCAGGACAAAATAATACTGTGGATTCAAATTGTTGACTTATCAGAACTTGAACATATCAAAATAATTTGGCTGCATTACTGTTTGCTAAGCAGGGAACCAACCCAAACCCCAACCAATTTAGAGAGAAAGAGAGAGATTATTGAGTCCTGAATGGTGAAGCTTAGCTACGTTGCGCTACAAGATACTCATGCAAGGGAGGTTACCATCATCTTATTCAGTAACATCTATAAAAGGCAGTTTAAACCAAATGACAGAATGTGTCCCTCTAGGACATCAATTGAAGCATCCTTGAAAATTTTATTTACCAAAAGAATTTGTATTAGAATCCAAAACTGAAAGGCCCAGCAAAAGTTAGAATGATCTATTCATATTTTGTACTAGTACATCATAATTACACCATCCTCTATGTAAATTGAGATTCTCCATCAAACATAAACTTGGGTAAGTGCACCAGAAAGTAATACCTCCCCCATGGTGAGCACTTCCAGTGCATCTTTATAGTTCTGCATTCTAATCAGCTGTTTTGCGTTTGCATGAAGCATGAGACCCATCATTATTGCCCTGCCAAATTGAGTGTTGAACTGTTTCAGAGTTAATAAATGACAGATTCTTAACACCCATAAAAGAGGGATAAATAGTAGCCTGCAAATGCATTTTTGCTGATAAATCATATCAGCAATTCACTCATATATCATACTGCTGATCAGTCTCAGATCCCAACTGCACTTTTTCTCCACTCTGATTTTCCAATTCCAGATTGAAGTCTTCAATGGGCAGTGAACCATCCGCATGTCGCTTTGCCAGTGAAGTGGCAGCGGCCCTGTGATTTCAGTAACTTCATCAAAAGAGATAGAGAACAAATTAAGAGCAACAAGCGTCCTCAATTGAGCAAAAAAAACTCTTTTGTCGTGAGTAATACACCATACTTATCATTATGGAGTCGTAAATAACAACTGCCGAACAAGTACAGTGATAAACCCCACCATATTAATGAAGCATATTACCACCCTTTGGGATGTGGGAGATGGCACAAGACAAGAAAGTCAAGGATTTTTTCTTTGTGAGATATTTCAAGGGTTATAACTACAAATGGTATAGCCAGATAAGCCCGATTTCAGCGATACTACTTATAGTCTTGATCTTGAACTTAAGGGTTTGTCTCGAATTTACTACTGCTCACCATGGACAATGGTGCTTTAATATTCAATGGTAATCAGTAACTTCTTGATTGACAGAACAATGAAGCAAATGCAACTTTTACTTGACTTTGGATCTCTTAGCAATACCACTAAACTTAAATTATGTGGCGAGGTGGGGTGAGATGTAATTATTGGGTTTTATAAAGTGCACATATCTCACCACGAAAGAAGGGTTAAACATAATAAAGATCAAAATAAAAGCTTCATCTAGTCCGTAGAGTATACTTCTTCTGCTTGGGCCCACTATCTGCATTTCCTTTGCCTACAAGTAGTTCTAGATCATAAAAAAAGAAAACATTGGAATCTCATATCAAGGACCGTCTCACATCCATTCCATTTGATTATAGCGATGATCCAAAATTTCAAGAATTAAGAAGCTTATGGTCAATTTTTTCTTACGGAAAAGGGAATGAAACACCCTACAAATGTTGGCATGGAATCTACGTACTATCCGACCTCCTCATGGTCATGTTAATGCATCCCCAAAGACATATTCATTTGATAGGGTTTGTAAGGGACATAGGTATTGGGTACACCATACACCTACATGTACAAACTCAATCCAACTCCGTGATCAACCAAGTATAAATCTTTCTTTGCTCTCCTATAACAAGAAGAACTGCTGGAACCAAATATGAAGGCCATGAATTGAAGAATCGGACACACACACACACACACACAACACCTATATTATATATACACATACAGGTAAATTGTAAGTATGTCGATAAGTTGACATGTAAGTGAAGTAATTCCAGAACCTAATAAACTTTCATTCCCATGAAATTTCCATCGAGTTTCCCGCCACGTTAACTTGAAAACAGATGCATAGAGATATCAAGAACCACATAATTTTTCATGATCATATAAGTCAACCCATATAGCCTCAAAAACTTCTTTGATTATGAAAACCAAAGCAAAAGTGACATGACCTAAACCACAATTCATTCGAGAATTCAAAATCATAAAAGGGGAATTTGCTTTAATTATAGAAACTCAAAGCACGATTTACATAATTCGCGAAAAAACGTAAATAGCCCAACACACCCAACATCCCAAAAACCATACAAGAACTTCAATTCAACACACATATACACAAATACAAAGAAAGAGAGAGAAAGAAATTATAAGTGGGGAGAGAAAGAGTCTTACTTGAGTCTGGAGAGTCTGCTAGACCGTTCTTCCTCAGCCAACAACTCTTCTTTTAAAGACTTCCCATGATCAGGATTGACACGAGTGGCCAAAATCTTGGCATTGTTCTTGACACCCAATTGAGTTAGCTTCTCAGTCCCGTCACCGTCCTTCAAAACCCTCCCAGCACATATAAGGTTGATCATGTGTGGCCCTGCACAGCCCGATCGTTTGGAAATCTCTTCTCTCAACATGGGTACTGTCCATTCATCCAATTCTACCTCCAACAAACCCGACCATGCCCCTCCTATCTTTAATTTCGTCATACCCATCTGGAGAGAGGATGACGGATGGACTGTGTGGTGTATGTTTCTTTGTCGGGGAACTTTTACTCCTGTTTGGTTCCAGGGAAGGAAGGAGAAGGAACTGAAGGAAGATGAGAAAGAAGGGTTAAAATGGTTTGAGAATCGGAAGTAATCTATACGCAGTAGTAGGTTTTCTTGAGGACTAAGGTTTGATCGTTGACGAATCCAAAATTCGATGATTTCTACAAACACTTTTAACCTTTCTTAAGTCTTTATGGTTAACCCTATTTTGCACGATTTAAGAATTTTTATACTTCATTAACGTGACCTTTGAATCAAGACAGTTCAGGGTAATTTAAGACGCAAAACGATATCTTTAAATAAGATTTTTTATGATTAGGATAAATTTATTATTATTATTTTTTGATTTGCAAAATTATTTATTAAATTTTTATATTCAAAATTTATTATTATATTTTTGTCAATTGATAGTATTGTTAATTTAATTAACCTCTTTTGTAACATAATTGATGATACACAAATCGATTTTGTGCAAAATCAACAGTTGAGTATATAGGGTGCAATTAATGAGCAATAAAGAGACAATCAATGACAAAACAATAAATATGGAATCAACACAAAGATTTATAGTGGTTCGATTCGGGTGACCTACTCCACTCTCGGGAACAGCAACTGGTGGCCGGAGATCTTTATTGATGAATAATATCACCGGGTGGGTAACTCCGGGGGCTGTTTGTTTTGAGTATTAGATTTGGGTGGTATTAGAAATCATTTTCATTTCACTCCTATCCAATGGTATATTATACCGGTCTTAAACTATAATCTCATCATTTTCCTTGTTTGTTTGTCACAAATATTATCTGTGTAATACCTATTTAAAAAAATCAACAATTGCAACTATGGGTGGTAAAAAGACAATTATAACTTTGTAACCTTAAAAAGACAATCGTACATGAGGGCATTTGTGTCATTTTAGTCTCTTATATTGTCCCTTCATTTGTACTGGGAAGATAATACTACCTAGTAGGTAGTATTCAATAGTACAGTATACAAGGCATTTAAGTTACAGTTCATAACAGGTCAGTATTACGACCCGAAAAATAGTACCAATGATAAAATGTCAAACAAACAAGGTAAAAGGTAGATCCTACGTATTATTTCTATAATACCACTCATTTGTACCACTCTAATACTTTAAACAAACAGCCCCCGGGAGTATCACAAATGCTTTGGAGAGAGAGAGAGAACAATGTGTGTAGAGAGGTATTGTATGTGTAGGGATCTTGTAGAGATCTCAAGGTTATGCCAAAATCTTAATGTCATAAGGAGATGCCCTCTATGTGGAGAAGGCTTACATTATATAGGCTTAGTAAGACGGTGAGGTGGTGATGTGAGGGAGAGGACTTCTACCATTTTGGCAAGTACAGTTATGGTAGGATTAAATCTCTGAGTGTATCCCGATATTCTTTCCTCGTGCTCCTATTTCGTTGGAGGATGACCTTGATCTTGGGTTTGGACTTGGAGTAGGCTGGACTTGAACCTGCATTGGAATGAAGAGGGTAGAAGAGGAATAGGAAGGCAAGCCATGGGCGACACTCACTTGGCGACCATATGGGCGGTGCCCCCTTGGGGTACTCTTGAATGTGCGTCTCTTGGACGTTGGCCCTTTGGCTTGGGCTCCACTAGACTCCTTATTGGTTTATGAGCGACTCCCGTGATTTGGACTCCTGAGTTGATACGGCTTTGGTTGGACTTTCTCGATTTATTTAGATTGGGCTTGGCCCAATCAAATTCGGGCTCATCATTTGCCCCCTCATCCCCAAGCCTTTGACTTTTTTGAGAGAGGAAGAGGTTGTGGGCATATGCCTCGTTTTGTAACGCCCCAAAACACACCCTGGATGACATTACATTCTAAAATCATTCATATCATGAGAGTACTAATATAATTCCTTAAGAAACAAGACTTCATTTGTCATCCACGAATATTTACAACATTATCCAAAAGAATAAGCCCAAGTCATGACAATTACATCTCAAAAATTAATTAAGGAAGCACATCGGAATAAACAAAAGAAGCTAGACTACACAATGTTTCAAAAGAATGTCCTAGTCTAGTACAAAAGGAAAGGAGGTCGCTCTATGCGTCCACCTTGGGATCCACACTCCCGTCCCGTGGAGTCTCCCAAGTAGCGGGCTTCTCGACCCTTACGTCCTCCTCCTCAAGCGGGTAATCTGAAAAATGTTAGCGATAGGGGGTGAGCACGAAGCTCTGTAGAAACATTCTCCCAAACCCATACAAGGTTTAAAAAAGCATTTAAAACGTCGGTCTCAATTTTAACATAACATAGATACATAATTTGAAATAAAGCAGTGACATTTAAAAAGATCTCAAGTTTATTTAAAAATATTACTTAAATGAATAAATAAGCACCACATACAAATAATAACCATTAATTGTCATAACCAATTTCCAACAATTCTTTCGGTAGGTGACATACTTTGTGGTAACCTCCACCCCCCTTTTAGGTCACCTTTGATTCTCAAGCATCCTTACCGGAAACCTCTTAAAAATGGATGAACATCCTTACATGGAACCTCTCACCAATCACTACATTATTTCTCAAGCATCCTTACCGGGAACCTCTTGGAAGGGGTGAGCATCCTTACAAAGAACCTCTCACTCATGTGCATCATAAACAACCCAACCAAGCATACAATTCCAACATTTATCTCAATTTACAAGCATCTATCCAAAATTCTCAAAATATATCATTTAACAATTCCACAACTAACTAAGAAAATACATGAGATCACAATAACATCATTTTTTCTACCCAACACAAAGCACTAAGGTTTCGAAATCCATAATAAAGAAAGCATTTAGGAAGAAAATACATCACTCTCCAAAAATTAGGGTTTTAAAACTAGAAAGGAGATTTCATGGGAATTAAACCCTACTTTGTTCAAAACATGTAATCCTTGCAAAAAGCCTAAGAGAGGATGATTCCATAGCATATATATATCATTGATAGCCAAAACATACATATATAAATACCCTAACCTCAATGTAAGTGAATGAGAGAAAATCCCTACCTTAAATCCTTAGTTTTTGAATGAAGAACAAGAATATTTGATCTTGAATCACCCTTGAATTTCTTGTTTTTTTCTTCATTTCTTCTTCTCTAATGCCCTCTAGGGTTTCAAGAGGTGTGGGGGTGTGAGGGGAGTGAAGGAAATGAGATAAAATGAGATGAAAATGAGTTTAAAATATAGCAGCCCCGAAAAATACTGTTCACAGGCTGTTTTGGATTTCTCCAAATTTACGGTTTTGCCACTAAGAATCTCCAATTTGATCCATATGACTACCCTAAGGTTTTTCGACGTTTCGGATTCATTTTTAATGTTATTTTAACCTAAAAACATTTGTTTTTATGATTCATCTCAACACCCAAGTCAACGTACACCCGAAACACTAAAATTTCTATTTTACCCATCCGGATCGGTTATTAATGAAATTTTGCGATGTTTGCAAATAAAATGTGATAAATGGTGTTTCTTAAAGCCTTTTATATTTATTTGAAGCCTAAAAGTACTCATTATTTTTATATTTTGATTTAGGATGCAAATGGAGACATTAAATGCAAAACGAAGCTAATTGGACTATTTCGACATCATTTCGTTATCTGAGCATAACTCTCTCATTTAAGCTCCGATTGAGATGATTCAAGATGCTATGGAATGATACGAAAGAGCTCTGAAACTTTCATGTTTTGAGTTTTGAGAGATATTGACTGCATCAAGGTCTAAATCGAGCTTGAAGTTGCAGCAGTGCACTGTTCATAGCCTGTCTTCGTCCCTTGTCTATTTCCCATCCATTCCTAAGCCAACCAAATCTATCACAAACCTCTCCAACACATATTTCTACACCAAACCTATTTAATACAAGTTTTAGGACCTAAAATTTCATATTTTCACTTTTTTAAATCAAATTTCAACTACTATTTTCACTAACATTTTAAATCTCTACTTTTCCAATCTACCAATTTCAAACACACATCACTAAATATATCCACATTTTTTTATCACAATTATTTACTATATATCTATATACATATATAAAAAAAAATACGGGGTGTTACACGTTTTCATCTGGGTGAGTCAGAATTTTTCTAGTTCCCACGGTATCTTTCATCCTCGGGGACTTGATGAACTATCCGATATCGAAAAACATTTTTTTTTTTTGGTTTACTGACTCCCTTCTTTCTCTTTTTTTTTCTTTGGCTGTTTGGGCGTCGTCCTTTTCTTTTTTTTTTTTTTTTTGGGCAACGTCAAAGGCCTTGGGCGCTATGTTTGGGTAACGCCTTAAGTCTGGTTATGAGCGGCACCTCCCTGATGCTTGGTCATTAACTGACCTTGTCTCTAAATAAGCGCCCTGTTGATCTGGGGACTTTATTTGCTTTTAGGGTGGTGTCTTTTCCTCCCCTCAAGAGGGCAAGGTTTAATGTCCCCAATGCTCCTCAGTCAAGGTCTGATGGCTAGGTTGCTTCGCGGGAGTAAGATCAGGTGGTGCCCCCACTCCTTCCTAGACTGTGTACTAGAATTAGCCCTTGTACCGCTACATAAGTTGAGACTCTAGTGTGATTTCTACGGAGATTGTGGCTTCACTCTACTTCTAATAGTGGCTCGGCTGCAGATGACCTGAGCTTCAGTAGTGTGCCTGGAAAAGACAATGTTATATCAACATTAAAATATCTAACATGATTACCTAGAGAAAGAGGTATACTGTTTGCGTAAGAGCAAGGTTAGAGCTGTGGGCGTCCCGTGGGAGGGACGCATAAGCTGAGACCGAACTACGTATAGTCTCGGGGATGGCTGCCATGACAGAGACTTTTAAGGAGACAACTTGCGCGAGAGCAAAGTCTGAGGCCAAGTTACGTATAACTCGGGTGATGGCTGTCGTGGCAAAATCTTACTAGGTGACTTGCGCGAGAGCAGAGTCATAGGCCGAGCTACGTATAGTATCGGGAGGTGGTTGCCGTAGCAGAGACTTACTAGGTGACTTGCGCAAAAGAAGAGTCATAGGCTGAGCTACGTATAGTCTTGAGAAGTGGCTGTCGTGACAGAGACTTACCAGATGACTTGCGTGAGAGCAAAGTCATAGGGCGAGTTACATATAGTCTTGGAAAGTGGTTGCCGTGACAGAGGTTCATTCCATTGAGATGGAGATGAGGAG